TCACTTATGGACTCTAAAGAAAAAAAATAAATGAACAAAAACAACAAAAAGAAAGACTCATGGATACAGAGAACATTTTGATGGTTGCCAGATTCAGGGGTAGGGTGGGAGAGGGTTAAGAGATACAAATTGGTAGTTACAAAATAGTCATGGGGATGTAGAGTATAGCATAAGAAATATAGTCAGTTTTATTGTAATAACCATATATGGTGTCAGATAGGTAATGGATTTATTGGAGTGATGAATTTGTAAGTTATATAAATGCCTAATCATTGTTTTCTACACCTGAAACGAATATAATATTGTATGCCAACTGTAATTTAAAAATCAAAAAAAATCAAAAACTATAAAAAAGCCTCACAAATAAACACATAATTAAAAACCATAATTTCTGGAAAGGGAAAGAAAAATGTACGCCAAGAGAATTTAATAGGGAGACCTAATGTTGACAGATACGCAAGTGCAGGCATGATGGGGAGAATGAAATTTAAGCTGAGACTCAAAGAATAAGTAGGGAGAGAGGCAGGCAGCGAGTGGGAATAACAGGAAACAGCATGCATAATGGGCCAGAGGCAGGAAAGAGCATGGGAAATGTAAAAAAACTGAAAAATAAAATACATTATGGCCCAGGCATAATGAGTAAGAAGCCCGACAGCAGGAGATAAAAATAGGAGAGGGGGTAATTTGTGGTAAGGAGTTTATATTGTAGCCTTAGTGTCATACAACGCACTGACACTAAGCAGATAAATAGTAGGAGGCAACACAAATGCACTCTAGAAATGTCACATCGAGAGCTGTGCCAAGACAAACCTGGAGAAGGGCAAAAGTGTAAGGGGGGAAAACAACCTAAAAGTGTATTGTGACGGTTAAAGAGAATGACAATACTGGCTTGGGCTCAGGTAGTGACAGCACAGATAAAGAGAAGTGAGCAGATCTGATGTATATTTCCATTGCAATCAGGAGGTAATTAAAGACCTGTCCTACATCATTTCAGTGCCTTAAGGCAGAATTCTGATTTCTGTTCATTGGAGGTAAGGAAGTAGAGAACCAAAGAAAATTAATCTTTGTAAACTGATGCTAGGAAATGGAGAAAGGGAAGCAGGTATCAAGGACCTGGAGGCCAATAAAGGAATCTTATTCGTCCATCTATCCAGGTATCCAGTCATTCGTTTTTAGGCAGTGAGTGACTGAAGAAGTTACTTTTTTCTGAAGAGAAGGGCAAAGTGGAGACTGACAAATTGAAGAGGCAATAGAATAACAGAACTAAAGTAGGCAGGGAATATAATACTCCTCCAAAAAAGGTAAGTTAATTAGCATGTGACAGAGGAACGCACAGTCGCGTGCGCACACACACACGCACACACACGCCGGTACAGTACAGTGGTTAAAAGCACTGTCTATAAAGTGTGGCTGCCTGGGTTTGCTTTCTCCATCTACTACTTACTATGTAACCTTGGACAAGCTCCACAGCCTTCCTTGGTCTCAGTTCCCTCATCCATAATATGGAACTAATAATAGTGCCAATCTCACAGGGTTGTGAAGAATACGAGGTGATGTGTGTAAAATTGCTTAGTGTGGTATCTGACACAGAAGTTCCTCAATATATTTTGTTTCTATAACTAATAATAACAACATTAGTCATAATAAATAAGCTATCCCTCTTTCTGAAGTTTGACAGAGAATAAGTTAATAAAGGATGTGGATAAAGAGAACTGTAGATAGAAAAGCTACGGGAGGCTCTGAAGCCTAAGTGCTTTCCTATTTCTCTGGCTAGTAAGAGATTAGGTTGTTTGTAGTAAGTGAAAAGAATGGAGCGGGGAGGGCTAGCCGGCTTGAGAGCAGGTAGGAAATGGTATACCCACTATGGAACAATGAAAAACAATTGAAGAGAAGCAAGTAAAATAACTGCTGAAATGGCAACAAGGGTACATACCACTGAGGTAAAGGCTAACATGTCATAAAGATACCAATTCACTGAGTGCTCCAAAGAGAACAGGGAGATATACAACCAGAGAGTCAGAGGCAGACTGAGAATGCTAAGGGGCTCGGGTTTTCTTCTGTAAATTCTGGGAGATGCCGAAAGTTTCTCATGCAGATATCCCATGATGAATAGAGATTTTTAGGAAGACTGCACTAATAGTATTGATGCCGGAAGAGAGTAGAAGCCAGACAACAAATTTGGAGCCTCTCTCATTAGAGCAGGTGATTGTATACATTTTCAAAGTTGCCCTAACTGTAAGCTGCTGCTAAATTTTGAGGATTAAAAAGTATTTGGGTATATCCACACAGAAGTGAATGTACTTTCAGCATAGACAGGGAAAAATATGTCTTAGCATTTTTACTTTTACAGATTCAAAATAATGCTATGTTTAATCTCAAGCTCACACGTGGGTTTAATAGTTATCCTATAGTTCAATACACATTTATGTATTGTCTATTGTATATAAGATATTGTCCTAAGCACTGCAAAATATGTGTTTAAATGACTAAGGACTATCATTATTTCAAATATCTTTCGGCTAGATATGACGTTATCTAAACTTTATTTGGCAGATATTAATTGATACTGCCTTAGAAAATTTACATAGCACAGACTACTTCGCAATGTCCTTGACTTTTTTCCCTACAGACATGTAGCTAAGGATGGGAAGAGTAAATAAGAGGACCATGTGACTTCATGTACACAGCCCCAGAATTATTTATGGTTATGTGCATAAACAAGAAATCTCTTCCATTTTCTATTTTGCTTTTGGTTCAGAAGGTATATTGCTTTTTATGTCCCCAAACTTCATTTCCTCAGCGTGGTACCAAGGATATTCCTCGTGAAGGACTTGCTTGGCAAACTAATACATCTTCCAAGATAAACTGCATTCTAGAAAAAAAAATGGCTTCAGAGAAATTGTGTAGTGCACCTACTAAAACGCATAACCATCACAACACAGCTGAATTCTCAGATGGTACACAGCCTAGCTTCAATTATAATATGAATTCAGGCCGGTTAGGTTTCAAGTGTGGGCTTTGGTCTGAAAAATTTGATTACCTAAGATTGCACTAAAGTGCTGCTATTCAATAAATAATATCTAGCCAGTTCAGTTGATTAGTTTACCTAACTCAAAAATGAGAGAAATATCTTCCTCAGGTATATTTACATGCTCTATCTCACCCCAAATATACATTCCTGGCCTGCTTTGAAAGGATTTGAAAGAATCGTCCAACATCAGAGTACACAACTGCAACTGCTGGGAATTAATAAACTCTAAATATGAGCCAGCACTTAATGTACATGTTCAAAAGGAACGTTCTCTGTCTCATCTATCACATTTTGACTTTAAACAGGATTTTCAAATTGCAAAGTACCAAATCGGGTCAATTCAAATATATTACTATTTAAAAGGTTATAAAATATTTTGAATGAAGCAGACACAGTGTTTGAATATTAGGTCTGATGGTAATTTTAAGTCCTATTAGACAGACGGAAAATGGTCAGGGAGCCAGGGTAAAGCTGGCAGCTGTTCTAAAACTGTTTATTCATAGAGCCAACAAACTAGTATTGAACACCTAAGTCAAAAAGCTTTTTCTCTAAGAAATTAAATAAATCATCATGCCTTCTTTTTCACCATTTTTTGGGAGGAGTTGTTCAAATAGCAGGTTTGGGGAGTGTTACAACATACAAAGGATGCCAAAAAACTGTATACACATTTTAAGAAAGGAAAGCTGTATTAAAATTGTAATGCTCTGGGCCGGCCGAGTGTCGCGTTGGTGAAGAGCTGGCCTGGGACGCCAGAGGGCCCCGGTTCAGATCCCACATATGAGGGCCAGTGACCCTGCCCTCTACAGCTCAGATGATGAACAACAGCTCAACCTGGAGCTGGGCTGCCATGAGTCACCGGCGATGGCGTAGGCTGCAGCCCCTGTGGCAGTGGGTTGCCATGGGCTACCGNCTACCGTGTGTAGCCAGCAGCCAGTGTGAGCGGCCAGCAGCCGCAGTGAGCAGCCGTCCAGAAGCCGGCGACTGATCTGCCTCGCCCGGGAAAAGCACAATGATGGTGCTAGCTTGGGCCAGTGAAGCAACGTCCTCCACAACTAGACTGAAGAACAAAACGACAGCAACTTGTTTGTTCCCCTTCCCCCAATTCCGCATTAAAAAGAAAATTGTAATGCTCAATATATACCGATAACAAAAGATGAATGCGAGTCACATTTGACTTCTGCAATTACAAGAGAATTACAAGAGGTGCTCAAAGTGGTTACCATCAGCGTCCAGACACTTCTGATTACAGCAAACTAGTGCTTGAGCAATGCTGACCAAAGTGTCTGCTTATTGCTTGTATACAATTTTCTGGCACCCCCGTTATAACTATGTTCTTTAATATATAACTTACACCTAGTCATCTTTTGTGCCCCTTAAAATGAAGGGGAGATAACAAAACATATACATTCCAAAAATGATGTAGCCACTCTAAAGTATGATCTGTATTTATGAGATTTTCTTTCCAGATGAAAAAGTGTATTTAAAGCTTACAATCAATTAATGACACTCTATAGGAAATCTGAAAATTCTTGTGTTTTTTCTGACTTAATATATACCACAGAAAGTATCTTTATAACATTGCTATTTATCTAGTTACCTCCATTTTTATTAGCCTAAAATGGGGGGTGGGAGGCAAATTCTAACATCAAGATCTAAATAGAAGAAAAAATTGCCAATGCAGTAATATACATGCTATTTTTCATATACTAATAGAATTAAATTTTGGCACTGGTAGGGAGGAGTTCCCATGAGATATTTTGAAATATTTTATAGAATGTAAATCTTGAATTCTTTATTTTTCAATATGATGACAAACAATAGACAAACAAGGAATTTTTTCTGATATTCAATATTATATTAAATTATATAGTGATATAGTTAAAAAAAAACAACTTAAGTTTTCTTTTCACTGTTTCTGACTAGTGTTACCTCCAAGCTGAGTTTGTGGGCCCTCATGCTAGATACGTACCACAACTCCGAATTGTTCAGACTCACAAAGGTCATTATACTCATTCTTCAGCTGTGCTAATTCATTGAGTACCTTCTGCTCAGGAAGATGTTTTATGAGGTTCTAAAAAGAAATAAAAGTGTAAAAGTTTAGTATGTTATTATTAGAATTATTAAACATGCATTAACAACTCTAAAAGTGACAAAATACGACAGTGTATAAATTTCTGATTGTGGTCCTGATTTCCAGTGTTTCCACACCTTCTTCCTAAAAACTTAACTAAAAAAATAAGCTATAATTTAATGTGAATAAGTACATAAATATATTCGGTTACAATGCACTACAGTATGTAAATGTTAAGTAAAAAGATCATGCAGCAATAAATGACATCAAATAGCAATAAATTGACTAACCTTCTGGGCCTTAAATACATAATTTTTAAGCTTTATTATCTGTCATGATAATTTGTCAATCCATATACAAAACAGAAGAATACTATGTAGAAATTAACTCATATATAATAATAATAATAATAATAATAATAAATCAACTCTACTCTTCATAATTGGCCAAATTTAGAATCACTTTTAATCTTATGAACCACACCAAGCCTGTAAAAAAAATACCCCATTATTTACAGTATCTGTATTTAAACACACAATGATATTTCTACTTTAATGGAGAATCAAAGAAAAGTGATGTATCTGATGCATGCTGAAGTCTGATGCCTAAGAGAATTAAAACTGGTTAATTCTCCTCAACCTAGTTTATCTTAGGCTTCTTTGGTACTATTCTCATTATCATCACATTGGCCTGCAACCAACCTTTTGGAGACTTGCATGGGATTTCAGAAGACATATGAAAGGGAGGGAGCAGGGAACAAAAGATTTAAGAAGGTAGGGTTGACTCAAAACGGCAGAGAAGGAAGTTCCAGGGATTGGTCCTTCGAACAAAGCAACCACTGAGCTGGAAGGAGTGATTTAAATAAACTATTTCAGAACTCTGGAACCTGACTGAATACTTACAACAAGGCAAGTATTTCATGAAGAGAGACTGCTGTTCTCTGGTAAGAGAATGACATGCACAAAAAAATACCCTACTCCGTCCCTCAGCACCACTGTGAGGTGCCCGAGTTCTTGGAGGGGTTAGCTGATGCCAGGGTAGCCAGTGGGGACCTTGTTCTCCAATATTTGGGGCTGTACCTTTTGGTTGGTTGGGCAGTTCCCTGAAGGACCAGTGAAGGTGCTTGCCTTGGTTTCAACCCTCTCTGGTTGCAGCAGCTTATACTAATTCTGAGAAACACACAAGCTACCAAAACTGAATCCAAAAAAATTTGAAAATTTGAGTAGACCTATAACAAGTAAAGAGATTGAATCAGTTAACCAAACACTTCTGAACAAACAAAAGCTCAGGACCTGATTGATTCAAAAGTGAATTTCACCAAATGTTTAAAGAATTAACAGCAATCCTTTTCAAACTCCTCCAAAAAAATTAAGAAGGGGGAAACTTCCTCACTGAGTCTATGAAGCCATTATTACCCTGATACCAAAGCTGGTGTAATTCCTCAAAAAAGACTAGCAAACTGAATGCAGCAGCATATTAAAAGAATTATACACCAAAACCAAGTGGGGTTTATGCCAGAAGGCAGAGGTAGTTCACATACGAAAAGCAGTCAATGTAATCCACCATATTACTAGAATAAAGGGGAAGAAATACACATGATCATTTCAACTGATGCATAAAAAGCATTTAACAAAATCTAACAAATTTCTGAGAAACATATTCTTTAAACTAGGAATACAATGAAGCTTTCTGAACATGATAAAGGCCATATATGAAAAACTCACAGTTACCACCATATTCAATACTAAGACTGAAAGATTACCTGATAATATCAGGAACAAGGCAAAGATGCCCGCTTTCACCATTCCATCCATCATAGTACTGGATGTTCTAACCAGAGCAATTAGGCAAGAAAAATAAATAAAAGGTATCCAAATTGAAAATGAAGGGGAAAAATATCTCTTTTTGCAGATGGCATGATTTTACATGTGAAAACGCTACATAGTCTACCCCTCCGCAAAAAAACCAACCCAAATCCTGTTAGAGCGAATAAATGAATTCAGCAAAGCTTCAGGATATACAATGACCACACAAAAATCACTTCTATTTCTATGCACTAGCAATGAACAATCTAGAAGGAAATTAAGAAAAAAACTCCATTTATGATAGCATTTTTAAAAGCACCCACAATGAGATATCATTTCATATCCATTGGAATGGCCATTATCAAAAAGAAAAAGGAAAGGAAAGGAAAATAACAAGTGTTGGTGAGGATGCGGAAAACTAGGAATCCTCATTGCTGGATTGCTGGGTGGAATGTAAAGTTGTGCAGCCATTGCAGAAAACAGTTTGATGGTTTCTCTGAGATTAAATATATAATCACCATATGACCCCACAATTCCAGCCCTAGTTATATACCGAAAAGAACTGAAAACAGGGTCACAAACAGATACTTGTACTAAGTGTACATAGCATCATTATTCGATAGCCAGAAGGTAGAAACAACCTATTTGTCTATCAACAGATGAATTGATAAAATGTGGTATATACATACAAAGAAATATTATTCACCTGAAAAAGGGATGAAGATTGATACATGCTAAAACATGCATGAATCTTGAAAGATAGACACAAAAGGACAAATACTGTATGAATCTACTAATACGTGGTATCTGGAAGAGGTAAGTTCTTACAAACAGTAAAATACAGGTTACCGTGGCCTGAGGGCAGAGCGGAATGGGGAGTTACTGCTTAACAAGTATAGTGTTTCTTTTTGGGATGATGAAGTCTGGAAATAGTGGTGATGGTTGAAGGACAATGTAAATATACTTAACGCCAATTAATTGAACACTTAAAAATTAGTAAATGGTAAATTTTATGTTACAGATTTTTCCACACTAAAAAAAATTGAGTAGACAACATATAGAATAAGTAGCAGGGAAAAACAACTATATAATGTTCTACTCTAAGTGCTCTTTTGTTCTCTCCATTTATTTTTTATGTTCTCCCACTCAATTTCACATTTCCATTAAGCTCTAGACCTGTGCCGCACTGACTGTGTAACTGATGAGACTAAAGATTTAAAATACTATGCCCTTTGACTTAAAAGATATTGACATAACATATATGCATAATCAAATGAAATTAAGAACATCCATTATTTTGCTTCACTAATATCATTACATATCATATAATGAAACGTTAAGTAAATAACAAGATATTATTTCTATTTTTCCAGAATACTTTTAATATATGTAAGTTACTCAATTGCTTTGTAAACTTTTTCTCTATTAATGGGATATTCTGAAGTATGTTAGTAAGCAAAGGAAACAACCAGTTTGGTAACCTGTATAATTTTTACAACAAGAAAGTAAATTAGAAAGACTAAGAACATTATTAAAATTATGAAAATAACAATTCTGCATATTTTAAACTTTCCATCCCAATTGTATGTTTTAACTGTAACCAAAGGTATCATAGAATGAATCAAGCCTAAAATAATACTTTAGCACAGAATATGAAACGTGTTATTTTCTTTCTCTTCTAGCTAGAGGTAACCTGTTCGCTCATCTGCAGGATGCAAGCTCCACAGTAGGTGATATATCTTTTCCTTCTCTGTTGAGCAATGAAACATTTAATGCATTTGGTGGGCTAAGATGTATTCTGATTCTGGATACCATTTTATGACCGAGTCCCAAGCTGATATGTATAACTGCTAGTGCTTAGTAAGATTCTATTTGCAAATCAGGTTTGGAATAAAACTCACTCTCACACGTGTAACAGACACCAGCTACTATTATACTACTTACAGCTTAATGAGTCAGCTACCTTTAAAATCCCATGCTGCAAGTGGCCATCATAGCCAATGCTTACATGTACCCATTTTGGGTTTTTTACATAATGCTAAACGTTATAGGCAAAGATGTAGAATAACATTGGACGTTAATATGCTTTCATGCGCATAGATTCCTGAATACAAGAGGAAGGAGATTAAGACAGGAGACACACAGTGCTACTCATTTGCCTCTACTTTCCTTCAGCTACTCATCAAAAACATGTCAAGGGAAAACGCAAAAAATGTAGGGGTTCAAGGCACAGTCTGAGACTAATGAGAACAGTCCTGGGAATCAGCTGGAAGTCTATGTGTACGGTGGACCATGGGGCCTTCTGGGCTAGAACTCTCCTCTCGATCAGAAGAGAAGTGTGCATTATGTAATCAGGCTCGGCAGAGTAAAAAAGCCTGCATTTTGGAAAACATTGGGGTGATTCTGAGTGCAGCATATTTATTTCATGGATGTGTCTCCAGGTCTGGTCTCTCCATCCCCAATATAGTCATATGTCTGGATGTTGTGGAAAGCGGAGCTGTGTCATGAACACCGAGCTTTGGTACCCTCTGCTCTAGTGTGTTTAAAAAGGCCAAGGGAAGAAACACATTTCCACACTTGGAGACAGAACACCCGATACTCTTGGCACCTAGAGGGCTTCAGTATATATACGTTAGATGTGCCCTGTGGGAAACTCCTCCCTGTCCCCACAGTTGTCCCTAGGAAAGAGTTCAAAAGAGGAAATGAAGAAAATCACCAGCAGCCACTACATGGAAGCTGACATTTCATGGGATGTGTAAGATATTTCCTGAGACCCCTAGAAACATCTAATGTAGGGGCTTTCAAAAGGGTTGGGGCTCTGCAAGAGCAAGAAAAATACAGGTGAACTGACGTGGATTGGGCCAGTGTTTCAAATCAATATTGCTCAAGGACTCTGGATTTAAAAAATTGTAAACAGCTTTTGGCTTTAGGTCCCTTATTAATATTGTCACTACACACTGGGGGTGTCAAAAAAACTACGTAATACCTTGGTTTGCGAGCATAACTCGTTTCGGAAACAAACAACTCATATTACAAGACATCACTGGTTTACCACGTTAAAATGTACTTGGTTTGTGAGCATAATTCGTTCTGGAAACCAACTACTTGTATTGCAAGACATCACTTGTTTACCAAGCTAAAATGTATTAGAAATGTTTGCTCGTCTTGCGGAACACTCGCAAACCACTTTACTCG